CGCGAGATCTGTATCATCCCGTGTTACCGGTGCGTATGCACGGTAAACTGCTCTTTGCATTGTGTCGTTCCTGTGCAGAGGCCACGCTACAGGGGTCGTGTCCTCACGAGAATCCCGCGGACAGGGTATTCGAAGGGACCTGGGTCGTGGACGAGGTCAAGCGCGCCGTACGTAAGGGTATGAAATAACGTTGATACACGAAATATCGCAGTATGAGATTACCCAGTACAACCCAACAACACGGACGGGTGGTCACTTTGCCGATTACATAAACCCGTTCCTAAAGATTAAGCAGGAAGCTAGCGGCTGGCCGCGCGAGTGTGGCGACGACGACGAGGCCAAGAAGTTGTATATAGAGGAGTACGATCGGGTCGAGGGTATTCGTCTGGACCCTGGTAATATAAAATCAAATCCCGGTCTGCGGTCAGTTGCAAAGTTATGTTTGAATTCCTTTTGGGGCAAGTTTGGGCAACGCGAAAATCTGCCAAAGACGGAAATTGTAACGACTCGTCAAAAGCTCGGGAGTCTGCTTACGTGTCCGGAGGTCGAGATTACAGGTATTCTGCCCGTAGATGACAAGATGCTCTATGTCAGTACGCGTAATACGAACGACTCGTTGATACCCACAGCATACACAAACGTTGTTATAGCTGCGTATACCACGGCTCAGGCGCGTCTGAAATTGTACAACTACCTCGAGGCATTACATAGACGCGTTCTATATTACGACACCGACTCGTGTATATACGTATCGGGTGGTCGTCACGCCGATAACACCTACGAGTCGCCGCTCGGTAGCCTTTTGGGTGATTTAACAGACGAGCTGGAGTCGTATGGCGCTGGTAGCTATATCACGTCTTTTGTTTCGGGAGGTCTGAAATTTTACGCGTACCGAGTGCGCAAGCCAGACGGTTCTTACGCTGAGGTCTGTAAGGTCAAAGGTATCACGATCAACCACGCGACGAGTCTAGTCATTAATTACAACAGGATACGGTCTTATATAACGGGAGAGACCGGCGAACCTGTCGTTTTACGCTATGACGCGATACGGCGTACCCTGTTTCACGACGTAGTGACACGTGTAGTAGCAAAAACGTGTAAACCGACAGAGCTTCAAAAACGGCGACGCGACGGTCGTTTCGGCTCTTTGCCATACGGTCTTATGTAATTAATATTACAAACAAAACCTGTATAAATGTATATATGACCACCCCTGTACAATAAGAATAATAATAATAAAACATATTTATTTGAAAAACAAAAATCTCTTTATC